TTATTAATTATGAAAGCTTTTTTAGGTAGCAATATTGCGAAATTATTTTATGAATCCGTTATGCATTTTGAATGGATGAAGAAAGTTCAAATTTTTGAACAATTGTAGAAATTTGAATTATTTCATTTAACAATTTGACTTAATATATCTAACGAAATATACGTTAAATTTTTAATTTCCTATAATTTTAAAGTGGACTATAAATAATAATCCTATTTTTTAATCGAGTATAACGAAAATATACCGAGAGAAATGCAACAGTCAGTTGCTCAAGAGCAGAATAACGAAATTTCTGCTTTGTTCCTGTTGAAATGGATGCCTTAAGCGTCTATTCTAAAATATGCAAAATGGAAGTATCCATAAAATATTATATATAAATATTATTAAATAGGATGAGGACTTTTTGATATTTCTTTAATGATACTTCATATTTAAAATAATTTTCGAATCTTTTATTGTGCATGCATAAATGAGTAAATTTGACAGATGAATAAATTTGAAAAACTATAGTTTTCTTTTCCACAAATTCACTGCTACCAAACAAGGATTTTTGATCAGCTGTGGCTTAAAAGGTGGCTTTGCCAGCACTTATTAGTTTATGGTGAAATGTGGGTTGTTCAGATTGCCTTCGTTCTTTTCATCTTTTTTTTCTTATCATCTGTTAATGGGGGATACTCTGCTATCGATGACTGCGTTAAGCTGGTCGGGAATGATAATAAAAAAAAGCCTTCGATTTCACTGAGTGCCTGCAGTGATAGTGATGCAGGTTTATGTTACGCACTATTTCAATTGAATCAACAAACAATTCAAGAGAATTTAATGGAGTAAGAATTCTAAAAAAAATTATTAAAACACATTTTCAAGAAGAAATATTAATTCTTTATTAATTTTCCAATTTTTTTCTTTCCCTATCTTTTCTTTTATAGCAATTTTTTTTAAAAAGGCGCACCATTTTCAATTATGTTGCTCATATTGGTTCTTGCCTTTAGTTGGTCAAATTTTATTGTTGGACAAGGGAATCATTCAGCGGCAGACATAAGGAGTCGCCGGCATCAGCCAGATTTTGAAAAGACAGCCCACTAGGAGGACGACACCATTGGCACTCTAAAAAATCCATCACCAATCTATCTCCTTTTTTGTCACATTAAATGGGTGCTTTTAACGGTTTTATTCAACCGCCCTTTCTTTTTCATTTCTGTGGTCAATGTGCTGCTTTTTTTATAGTTGAAAAGTTTTCATTGATGGCATTATGTGGAACTGGAAGATTATTATTGAACTGAATTATTGAATAATCAAATAGGAAAAGCAGAAATATGATAATTATAAATCTGCGATAAAAACATATATTCATTAATTTAGTAACGAAGATTACAAAATACACGATGATTGCAAAAAAGCAGCGCTTAAACCATTGGCGATTTCAAGATGTCCATCGACTTGTGCGATGTGTTGTTTGACGAAGCAATTCGCGTGCAACGACAGTTTGTTAAAAAAATTAAACTTTTTTCACCATATATTTACTATTTATTTCAATAATTCTGCCTCTGGAATTCTTTTTTTGCTTTTATNATTTTTATCATTTCCAATTTTTTCACAATCAATGATATGAAAAAATAAAAACTTTGAAAAATTTCATTTACACAATGGTTTCCAGCAAATGAAGAGGCCTGCAAAATTTTTACACCAGTATTATGCAATGGAGAACTGCAAGCAATTGCACTTCGCAGTTGTCCAAGAACATGCGGATTTTGTGATCGACCAGGCGCACTGGGAAGATGTCCAGATCTCGTCGATGTTTGTCGTATTTTAATATTAACAAGGAATTGTTCCGATCCGCTAATGCAACAAAACTGCCAGGGCACATGCAATTTGACAAATTGTATTGCTGAAGGTTATTTAAAATTTTCATTTTAGGTTCTCTGCGAATTTTCGCTAAATAAATGATTTAATAAATAATACGAAACAACAATTTTAAATAATTACACCTAATATTATTAGCGAATGCAACCACTTCATCACCAAGAAAGTGTGTGGACAGACCGAACTGTGCGCAATATGCTCAATTATGTGACACTTCGCCGTACTCGACAACTCTGAAACAGCAGTGTCCAAACATTTGCCATGGGACATGTTAAATATTTTTCCGATATTAAATGGTCTTAAGCTATTAAAAAATTACCATTATTTATTTCTCTTATAAATCTTTGATTTACCTTTGATTTTGGTAAGATAAGAAGGGAATTTTTTAAAACTTTGAATTTTCTGGATATAAAATATGGCGCAAAAAACATATCGCAAATAATTTTTGAATAATTTAAATAAATAAATGATTTTTGTTTAAAATATAAATTATAAATAATAATTCTGCAGAAAAATATATAAATGTTTTAGCAAATTTATAGTGAAATTAAAGTAAGTGAAAGTTCAATTTATAGGGAACTGGCTGCTCAGATGAATATGGAACAAACAAAAATTTCTATTTTCCTCTGAGAGTCTTTTTTCTCCATGTTTTTTAAAAATTGTGTGGCGGTCTGTAATAATTCTCTTTATAACGAGAATATATTATGTTGTTTTTTGTGAAGGAATATGATGAAGTTCGAATAGAATTGCGATTTTCTTTAAAAATGTTAAATATTAAAGTGAAATAAAAATATTGAAGCAAATTTTAAAGATTTCATCAGAAGTATTATTAAAAATTACTGTAGAATACTAGAAAACGGCACAACGGAATATTGTAAAATATTATGGTTACAGCAGATTATGGCCGAGCAATATGAGAATATTTAAGAAGATATTTCGAACGTTTTTGAGAGAAGATTGAATTTAAACATTTAAGCCAAATTTATGCTCTAGTGGATCTGAGGCGGTAAATTGGTAAAGAATAATTCAACATAGGATTGTTTCTGGAATACGGCGAAAGAATTAAATTGAATAAGGACAGCGCAGGGGAAAATAGCAGTAATTAATACTCGAAAAACGCTACTAACGAAAAGTTTTTTGTAATAATAAAATAATAAAATTTAGCAGCATTTTATTAATAAATTGCATAAATAATTTTGCAAACCACAAAAAATATAATATAATAGTGAGAATAATAAATGGTATAATCTAAAATTAGTAAAAAACTTGGCTTTATTTTCTAAACTACATCATAGTTAAAGCCATTGAGAAGTTATTGTGTACATTGAAGTGCCAAAAAATAGCCCTAATATATTCCCCAGGTTTTATACACTCGTTCCATGGAACTTAGAAACAACTTAAATTTATTCATAATTTTTTTTCAAATTTTTGGAACTCTTTATGCATTAAAAGTTAGATCAGCAGAAGAAAATTTTGTGAAATTTAGAAATGTATAATATACGCATTGTAGTTTAGTCTTTTCAGTTCATTTTTCGCTCATTTTTTTTCAACGCTTTTTTGAAATGAATCAGAAAAGCAGTGATCGACATTTGTATAGGGCTAGAAGAAGAATCAAATGTCAAAAGGTATTTCCACAATTTAAGGAAATCGGCTTTTATGGATATAAATGATCATTGAAAAAATAACCGAGTAAATACGATAGATTAAAAGCAAATGAATAGAACAACAATAACGGAGTCGAATCATTTCGATAATCCCCTTAACAAGCATCGCACATTTGCGAGCGCGCAAAGGGTATCGAAGGATTTTGTTAATTTTTACACAGCTTTTTTGCAACCTATTTCTTTCTAAAATTCGCAATTTTTGGCATTATAGTTTTTCCTTTTCAAATTTACTACTCATCAATCTATTTGCTGAACCTATCTTATTCACTAAATTATTCAAAAAGATTTTAAATTTTGAATTTACAAATGAATTTTTTCGCAAAAATAAAATGATCGAAGCACTTTCCTAAAACTGTGGAAATATCTTTTGATTGATATACAAACGATTCTTTTACTTCTATATAAACGCTGGTGGTAGAATGGCTCAGTGGGTTGTTGCTCAATTGCGAGTGCAGATGCTAAGGTTCTATTCTCCGCAGGAATAAACCTATCCCGAAATTAGGGTGATGCTGGCGAATCACCTATACTTCTACTGTCAAGGAACTCCCTCGTATAATTGTCTAGTGCGACAAGCCAGTGGAGCGAGTTTAATCAGTAATGGTGAGAGAACTCTTCTGTTTTTTCTATTACATAAGAGCTGATTTCTTTTTCTGATTCATTACAAAAAAGTATTGAGCCGAAGATAAGAGAACGAAATTTCAAGACAAAAAAATCTAAGAAGAATCATAACGAAACGCAAAAGTATTTATTAATTTGTGCTTTCGTGCTATGGATTTTGAATGGATAAAGAAAATCGGAAATTGATAATTCATTAAATGTGGGAATTTGAATTATTTAATTTTATGAACCAAATTTTTCTTGAATTTTTGATTAAATTTTAAATGGAACATGAAATATAATCAGTATCGTATATTATAAATTTACTATATTGTAATATAGTAAATTTAGAAATTATCATTTGCTGGAGGGGAACGAAAAGAAATAGCGCAAGCAGAAACGTAAAAGAGAATAGTTTAAGTTGTACTTTTGTTGAAGGTAGGTTTTATAATTGTGTCCCATTTCAAGATGGAGTAAATTATACTAAAAAGCGAAATCCTTAGAATACTGGAAGCGAGTCTATCTTCCTATCCACAGTTAGCTCCATTAATGAACGAAGAAAGAAAAATATGAGAATTATGCTAAATAAGAATTAGTGAAAAAGAACCACAATACTTATAGCAATAAAATAGAAGCATTTGCAAACTATAATTATACTTGGCATAAAAACTAAGGTCAAATCTTTGTTTTTTGATTTTATAGTTCGAAACCGATAATTATGGAGTTTTTTACTGAGTAAATATCGAAGCAGATGAATAAATAAACTTTAAATTCAGAACAAACTGTGCTTATTTTTTCAATGCTAAATAGGCCCGATTTTTGATTTGCACTTGTATAAAAGGTTGCTTTACATGTAATTAGTGTTGGTTTATGGTGAAAATGTGGACCACACCGGTTGCTTCTGCACTCTTCTTCATTTTTTTTCCATCATCTGTTAATGCGGGGCATAGTGATATCGCTGATTGCGTTATGATGATCGGAAATAATAATAATGTTAAAAAGCCCTCAATTTCACCGAGCGCTTGTCGCGATATTGATGAAGCGTTTTGTTCCGCAGTATTCCCATTGGATGCAAATAACTTAATGCCGTTAGAATTTTAACGAAAGTTTATTAATTTTTGATCAACTTAAATTTCAGCTTTTGCAATTTTATTAAAAAATGTATCAAAGCAAATAAATTTTTGCAGGACTACAATAAGAATCCTCCCTTGAGACATTAAGAAGAGATATTTCGCAAGCGTTGGATTTTCAATAATTAAATTATTCCTACCTGGATTAGAACCATCATTCACTCTGCAAAATGAGAGAATCCACTAAATTCCTTGAAAATCTCTTTTTAATCCAGTTATCATTAAATCGAACGCTTTTATTCAACCGAGTCAATTTTTTTAACACCCTTCTTTTTTCTCTCTAAGGTCATCTGTTGCTTTTTTTTAGAGTTCACAAGCTCAATGATGACATAACATGGAATTAAGATGGTTTATAAATATAAAACATCCACCTTCGCTCTCATACCACCTGCATATTGCCATTAGCGCCACCTTTGCACATTCTTAGTCGTCCACAGCAAGAGTTAGCGCATATTTCACTACTTACTAAACCATATGATAGATGGGGTGAGGAACGGGCATGGCTATTCAGGACTGATGCAGTCTGATTAGCAATGCATAGACAATGGAAAAAAGAATGGCTTATTTACTATCAACGTCGGACCGAACAACTTGGTGCAATCTTATTCTTATAGCCGGCGAGGCTAAGTGGAAGTCTCGAATCTTTTTCACCCATTTGCAAAAAGATTTTCTTTTTTTCGACCGACTTCTCTAGAATATTTATATTTAATATTTACAAATTATGTTCAAAAATCTGGAGAACCAAGAGAATGTATGAATTTTTGTATGTATCAAATTATTATGTTGAATATAAAATTTTTTTTCGATTAAATGGGAATGAAATTTAAAACACTTATAAAACACTTAAAACACTGAAAATTTGATAAGATATGAATTATTGAACAGTGTATTCTATAAATCTTCAATGCAAAACAATTATCCGTTAATTCAGTGATCGAAGTTATCAAGTACATGATAATTGCACAAACCCAGCCCTTAAACCATTAGCGATTTCGAGATGTCCGTCAACTTGTGCGATGTGTTGTTTGACGAAACAGTTCGTCTGTAACAACAGTATGTTGAGCAGATATTATTAAACTTCTATATTTACTATTTATTTTCTGAATTAAAGTCAATCTCTTACCTCTAATTGTTTTCTTCTGCATTTTTTAATAATCCACAATTTTTTATAAAATAAAATAAACATTTGCACAATGGTTTCCAGCAAATGAAGAGGCCTGCAAAATTTTTACACCAGTATTATGCAATGGAGAACTGCAAGCAATTGCACTTCGCAGTTGTCCAAGAACATGCGGATTTTGTGATAGACCAGGCGCACTAGGAAGATGTCCAGATCTCGTCGATGTTTGTCGTATTTTAATATTAACAAGGAATTGTTCCGATCCGCTAATGCAACAAAATTGCCAGGGCACATGCAATTTGACAAATTGTATTACTGAAGGTTACTTAAAATTTTCATTTTAGGTTCTCTGCGAATTTTCGCTAAATAAATGATTTAATAAATAATACGAAACAACAATTTTAAATAATTACACCTAATATTATTAGCGAATGCAACCACTTCATCACCAAGAAAGTGTGTGGACAGACCGAACTGTGCGCAATATGCTCAATTATGTGACACTTCGCCGTACTCGACAACTCTGAAACAGCAGTGTCCAAAAATTTGCCGTGGGACATGTTAAATATTTTTCCAAAATTTTGGAGAATTTCACATGAAGTTTTGTAGAAATGGTCTCAAGATTATAAATACAAAAATTAGAAATTGTTACATTATTTCTTTTTTTTAGCAGCACTCATCATCTCTGACTTTTCTTTGCTGGTTGCTTAGATAGATAAGACAACTTCGGCAGATGGTTAAACGAGAATACCAGTTCATTAGGCTCTTAGGACTTTATCGCTTTTACTCTTGCCATTCAAAGGGATGATTTAAACCGATAAGGTATTGACCTTAGTTCTTTAGCTTAGGCAGGCATATCACTCTATCTCCTTATCACCGCTCTTTGTTGCTTGAAACTTTTGGATCGTTTTAATGAAGGAAAATATAATCAGTGCGAATGGTTTAACGATAATCTCATTTTCTGAATGCCTTTGGACCATTTTTATTTTAGTTAGCATCTATAATCGTTTAAAAAGATGCGATCTTCTCCATATTGCTTATTTGTTTCAATCTTTATTCGTATTTTTTCATGATTTTTTTAATTTTTAATGCAAAGTACACTTATTCATAATATTCATTGCACTAATTGTTTCATCATTTAATCAATATGGGTTTTTTTTAAACTTTGAATTTTTTAAGTTTTTTGGTGCTTGCAAAAAAACTGATATCAAATGTTCAAACACAAATTACAAATTTTTTGAAGCGAATTTATATGTTTCGAGCAAACTCAAATTTAACTTAGATTAAACTTAAATTTTAGTCAAATTGAGAAGTTGACGGTTCGATTAAGCAAAAGGGGAAAAACTCGTGGCTCAAGTGAAAAAAGCACAAATAGAAGTTTACATACTCGTCGAAGAAGCTTTCACTTCCGCTGTTTCTAAAAATTAAAATGAATAGCGACCTATTCTCTAATTATTTCCTGTATAGCCGAGATGAAGTTGTAGTTGAATAGAGTTTGATGGAGTTGAACAGAATTTCGATTCAATTCGAAAAGATCAGATTGAAATTTAAAGGCAGAAAGAACATTAAGAATTCTTGTAGAATATAATAAAACAGCGGAACATTGCAAAACGGTGGTCTGAGCGGAGTTTAATTGGCAAAGTGGAGCAAAATAAGAATGCCTTTGGATTATTGCGCAATAGCTAAATTGAATAATGATAGGGTGGGATAGCGGAAAACAATGGTAACTAATACTCGAAAAATGCTATCCAACTGTTTTCGTTGCAATAAAGTGTGTGTTTGCACGTAGAATGGTGTTTATTAATGAAGTATATAATAATTTCATAAACTATAAAGAGGCAATCTGAGAAATTACAGAAGCTTATTTAGTATTCTCATCTAATTTTAGGCGATGAATGCTTTTCTCTGAGAATTTTCATTAAATAAGCGATTTAACAATTATATAAGACAATAAATAATTGCATCTAATAATATTAATGACAAATACACCCAGTTTATCACCAAGTTGATGTGTGGACAAACCGAATTAGGCACAGATCGCTCATTTATGCCATTCTTCGAACTTCTGGATAACCCTGAGGCAGCAGTGCTCTGTTACTTGTGGTGGAACAATATTAAATATTTTTTTGACTTTGAATTTTATGCGAATAATCTTAAAGGATGAAAAAATAAAAATTAAAAAAAATGAAATGAAAAAAATAAAAAATTTGACCCGCCGTAATTACTTAACTTTGTTATTGATAATGTTGATTGCATAAGCTTCCTGTATTTTCAAAAAACAGACACTATAAATTTATTTTTCTATCAAATAGGAACCAAACATCTGAAGCGAATTCAAATGCGTCGAGAAAATTCAAGGTGAAATTTGAATTTCGTTTCTTTCGAAATTTTGAAAATATAGAAAAAACGAATTATTTAAGAAATTCCTACTTAAAGAAATATGCAAAATGCTTGGATAATTCTATGCACAGCGGATTTGTATATACGCCTATATATAATTTAACTTGTATATATAATTTCGTTCATAAGTGACATACTTTGCAAAGGCTCATTCCGAAAAAATGCTACCCAGAGGATCAAATAGAAAAGTTCGAAGAGTTTAGGAAAAAATATTAAGGAGATTTTCATATATAAATGGGTCCACTAGTTTTCACTATCGCCAGCATTACGGAGTTATTTGGAGAAGAGGCTTATTCCTGTCGAGCGTGAAACTTCAGCGCATAGGTGCTTCGAGCCATGGAAATAACAACACTACTCTACTTCGTTAGTTACATTCATTACTTTATCAGTGACAGTTCGCTTGATTATCAAACGATATTTCTTCGGTGAAGAGCATTTTCACCTTTTGTTCCTCCATAATTTCATTCATAAGTGATTATTGAAAATCTTTTCGAAACAAATAAAGCAACTGATTCATATAGCAACTGATTCATAAAAATATAAAATAAATTGATCCGATTCATTTTTAAATTGCCTGAAGGATTCTCATTTCTATCGAAAATTGCTCATTTGTTTAACTGTTAGGGATTTCGCACGTTGTGGAGTATAGTTCCTTATAACCTATTTTTTTATAGATTTTACAATTTATGGCGGTGAAAATTTTGGTTCTTTTAAATTTACGACTTCCAAATCATTTTGGAAGCTGAATTTTTCCTGGAAGCATAATTAATGACGAATAAATCCAACAAGAAAAAGAACAAGAAAAGCGATCTTAATGAAAAGCAATGGAATTAAAAAAGCTCATAGAGAGAGTTAAATAAAAAAGAGATAATCGTTTTCAACGTTTTCCACTAAACCTTCTCATTTTTCCTAAAATTTTTCATACTTTAAAATTATTTTATTCGATATCGAATCGCAATATGTAAATATTCATTAGTAAACGAGTCACTGATGCGGCCTAAGGTTTAGGTGAAATGGAAATAATTTATCCGATTGGAAGAGTTAAAAATATTAGAAATATTCCAAAGTATTTTTCGATGCAAATTATCGTTCTTATAATTTTCTAACCAAATACGCTTATTAAAAAAAAATGACAAAATTAGCGAAATTTTACAATAAAACAAAACTTTAGCTAAATTAGGTGAATTCGAACCATTCATAATGAAATACAAATTGTTAAAATTGTGAAAGCTGTAGATTAGCAGGAAAAATTACGACAATGAAGAAGAGTTATATCGATGGTAATCGATGGCAAAACAGAATAAAATATGTTGCAATTCTTTATAAAAAAGCATGTAATATGTAAAAATAATAGTAATTTGCAAAAATATGCAAAAAATGCGCGAGGCATTTCGAAATTCTCCAACTGAACATCGTTCGATTTCAAAATCTTCAATGCATTTTGATGGGAA